AAGTGCTAGAAACAGCTGTGCAGTATAAACCAATCAGCCATAACATTAAATCTACTGACAGGTGAAGTGAATAACCTTGATTATCTCATTACAATGGCACCTGTCAAGGGTGCCATAAAATTTTAGGCAAGTGAACAGTCAATTTTTGAAGTTGATTTGCTGGAAGCAGGAAATATAGGCAAGGATCCGAGAGACTTTGACACTCAGCTTTGTGATAGCTAGACAATTGGGTCAGAACATTTCCAAAATGAGGTGTTCCTGGTATGCAGTAGTCAGTACCTACCAAAAATGGTCCACGGAAGGGCAGCCATTGAACCGGCGATGGGGTCATGGGCGCCCAAGGCTCATTGATGCGCATGGGGATTGACGGCTAGCCCGTCTGTTCTGATCCCACAGGAGAGCTACTGTAGCACAAATTGTTGAAAAGGTTAATGCTGCTATGATAGAAAGCTGTCAGAACACACAGTGTATTGCAGCTTGCTGCGTTTGGAGCTACATAACCACAGGCTGGTCAGAATACTCATGCTGACCTCTGTTCACTGCTGAAAGCACCTACAATGGGCAGGTGAGAGAACTGGACCATGGAGCAATGGAAGAATGTGGCCTGGTATAATGAGTCACTTTTTCTGTTATCTGAAGGGTCTGGTGCATGCCCATTGTTTACCAAAGGGAGAGATGGCACCAGGATGCACTATGGGAAGAAGGCAAGCTGGCAGAGACAGTGTGATGCTCTGGGCAATGTTCTGCTGGGAAACCTTGGGTCCTGGCATTCATGTGTATGTTACTTTGACACATACCACCTAGCTAAACATTGTTGCAGACCAAATGCACCCGATGATAATGGCCTCTTTCAGCAGGATAATGCGCCCTGGCACACTGCAAAAATATTTCATGAATGGTTTTGACTTGGCCTCCAAATTCCCCAGATTTCAATTTGATCAAGCATCTGTGGGATGTGTCGGACAAACAAGTCTAATCCATGGAGGCCCCACCTCGCAGGACTTAATAGATCTGCTACTAATGTCTTGGTACCACAGGACACCTTCAGAGGTCTTGTGAAGTTCATGCTTTGATGGGTCAGAGCTGTTCTGGCAGTACGAGGGGGACCTACACAATATCAGAAGGTGGTTTTAGCGTTATAGAGATACTTCATTAATCCCCATGGGGAAATTCTCTTATCACATCTTATTTTCCATACAGGTGAGAGCAAGCAATGTGACTGTTCTGCTGAGGATAGGTTTGACCCTATGACTTTTTGATAACAGGCATGGAGGCTTAGCCCACTGAGTCACACACTGCCTCTGAAGTGATTTTGGCTGATCGATATACATCTGTACATTTTCTTGCTTGTGATGGATGCTATTACACCCCCAAATATAGCATTTTATCGTGTCTCTACCTCTCAGTGTTTACAATTCCTAGAAATGCTTAATAATATGAGCAATATAATATGAGCATGCAGATCATTTGAACCGACCATTTATGGGTATTTGTGGGTGGCAACTGGCCAAGATCTGAAGCTTCTGCACCTACGTACCTTTGCAAGATCCAGTTTATCCAGGGGATACGTGAGGACCCCATGTTTGATAAATACAAATATTTCTTGTTTGTACGCATTTTTTTTACAATGAAATTTACACTAAGTTTGATAAACGAGGCCCCAGGACCGGTGGAATGTCATTGCTGTACATTTGTGCCGACCGTCACCATCTGTGTCTGTGGTAGTATGTACACAAAGTCCACGCACATGACTATGCTTAGACCATAGCTACTTCCCAAAACCTTATTTTCACCACCCTCGCTCTCCATCTTTCCTTCACCCTGGAAGTTTTACCGAATTTCAGACGTTGAAGCGTCATGGATGTCAGAAGCATTTCACATGTGCAGTGTGAGAGACTGAAGAATAATCTTCAATTTTTATAATGTACATGCAGAGCATTAAAGCTTCTACTTCAGTGATGACTTTATACATACAGGTGGAGCATGGTAAGTCATCGAGGATACAAGTGTGTCCTGATACCACTTTGTGTTCACATTATCTTCCTCGCTCACTCACTCGTTCCTTCCCTGTATATTTATTGGCTTAAGTCATGAATAGCTTTTTATATTATATATGTTTGCCATCAGCCCCCCCTAGTAAAGACTCAGCCCCCCATCCATTCATCTGTAACTAAGCCCCTGACATTACCTAACAGTAAACGTGGATAATTATTCTCGGATCTGTAGTCGGCCTTGATGTGGCTCAATCAGCCCCTATCAACACTTAACTGTGCACCAGTCAATTTCAGATTTTACTGCTGTTACAACAAGTGCATTACTACAAGTGGATGTTGTGAATATAAATAATATTGAAAACCCCCGACATGTAATGTTAGGCCTATGTGTTTAGTTAACTTCAATATCATGTTAGTCTTCGGTGAAACTATGCATCCCTCACTATTATGATATAAGGTAGGGGTCTCCAGCTCCAGTCCTGGAGAGCTACTATCAAGTAGGTTTTCTGTCCCACTTGGCTTCTGATGAGCCACACCTGTTCCTGGTATTTACCTGAGAATAATTAGTTTTGTGGAGATCTAACTTTGGTACACACTCGTAATATATTTCTGTGAAGAAGCCAAATTTCTCGAGAATCCCAAAAATTCCGAGCAGGCAGAGGAGAAATTGGTACATGTTAGTTTTTAGTAAAATACCTTCATCATAGTACATTTCTATAAGATATATAATACATATTCTATATGGATATCATTTCACGCAGTTATTTCATTCATTAGTCTGGTAGTGTTAAAGAAATACATTACACGAAATCATAGTCAAAATAGCGCACCATAATTTTTTTCATGTTTACTTAAGGTCAACAGGTGGCGCTCCTCTGGAAATGTTTAACAATTCCCGCTAAGCGTGTTCAGTTATAGTAATTCATCCAACAGGTGGCACTATAAGTTTAAAAATATTGATAGATGATCGCTGTTTCATTAGTTCATTTACTGATGTACATTATCTCAATGAGAACGAGCTTATAAAACAGGAAGAAACTGAAGAGTACAATTCGTTTCTGACATAAAGTAGCAACAATATAACATTTAAGAATTAAACATATCAATTAAGAATTAAACTGGATATTAATATATTTACGGAAAGTTATTAGACCCAAATATATCTTTTATTTATTGTCAAAAAGTCCCAAACATTATCTAAAACGATATTGCGTGCATGGAAATTAGAAATTAAAAATATTGCTTTGTATTACAGTGACTTTTAACAGACGTATTTTCGAAAACATAAGAATGAATAATTTATATCGCTCCAGTTATAAGTGTTGAATTGCGTTATTCAATATGCATCTACGCTACAGTTAATAATTGGGTAAAATCTAAGTAAATCAGCCAAAATCGCTATGCGATTAGAACTCTAATTTCACTTTGAGTATATTCATAAATCAAATTTTGCGTACAAGCCAACTTCACGTATATGTTTACCCAAAATTGCTCAAGGATTTTTGCAATTCAGTAATACCTGATGCATTGAATAGCGTAAATTAACGCTAGGTCCAGAATAACAATAATTGATGACACATATATCGCAACTACAACTTTTTTATTTGGCAAATTATTTTCCTTAATTTTAGAATAATGTGCGAAATGAGTCATACCGTAATTTGAAAGGTCTACGTGTGTATCTTTGTGTGATAACTCAAATACATTTTACGACAAAATCCAAGAAAATACATCATGTCCCGTCCTGTGCATCCATCGATTAAAGGTAGGCTGCTTTCCATACGAGGGGTTGCGGTTGCATTACGAAGCCCCCCAGTAATCTCCTGTCAGTCACCAACAACAAAACATTGAACATAGCACGCCACTTTTTTTTTTTTTTTTTTTTTTTTGCGTCAGCGGAACAAAAAGTAGTCCCGACGCATTGTTAATATTTCCCAAGAATCCTTTTTGTTCATTTTTACAGTTACACTGAGAGCAGACCTAACCTTTGTTTGTCTGTATAGAATTAAATTATATAATGTCTATAATATAATATGTCGTTATATTAATGTATTAATTGTTACAGTCTGAACTTTCCAGACGTACGAAAAACGGACACAAGAAAGCTTTGATATGTAGATAGAAGTGCTTACAGGTTTTACCCGAATTATAATTTTCGTTCAAGTCCCTACAAGAAGATATTTCTGGGAAACTTCATATTTAAAAAAAAATACACCATATGTTTTGCTTTTTATAACAAATCGGTAAGGTGAAAGGTGAATTTGATTAACCGAGAATTTTGAGCCCACTCGTCCAAGCCCCTACCCTCCCAGATGCCCCCGAGCAAAATAAAGAAATACGCAGGCTCAGTCTAAATATCGGTTATAAGACATCTATTTAGAGATCAGTGACTCAAAGCCTTGTCACCGTTTAAAAAAATAGCTCTGTAATTTGCATAATCTACACTAAGGGTTCGATTTTTCAGACAGATCTGCGATATTGGAATACTTGCAATATGTTATAACTAAGGTGGGATACATGTTATTTATATTAGTAAGTGTGCAGTTTTTGATTTCCATAAAAGCATAAACCTTTAAATGCAGATATTTCACTTAAGAGGAAGATTAATATCTAAGTAGGCTATTAGAACTATAATTGCAAAAAGACTAAAGTAAATTTAATTATGGAGGCTGTTGAACTTTTAATTTAAGAGAAAGGTTTGGTCCCTAATATAACTACGTGCATGTTCAAGAAACTACACGTCAAATAACAATTCGTCGTTCTCGATTCTAAAATCATGAGATCATTTAGGAACTGGAAGTAAGAAGGTGACATGTAAAATATGAGTTTGAGTTACTTGGATCATATAATACTATAATAGTCATTCCATGCACATCACTCGATCTTCATCATCACATTTATTTAACTCGTGGTTGAAAACATCACTTTGGAGTTTCAGGGGTTAAAAATACATTTTGGCTCCTTTGGCGGAGGGATATCGCATCGAACGTCAGCGTGGTGCTGAGGTTTGCTTAGCAAAAATGTCTGCCTAAGGGAAACTCGCAAGTTACATTCAGGGAATATTTTGCAAAATAATACGGCAAGTATCGTGATTCCGAACTCGACCGCGTGCGAAGAAGGAAAACAAGACTCCCTTTCTCACGCCAGATCGCCCTAGTTGGATTTTTAACGAGAAAAAGGTAAAAGAAATAATGTAACGAGTTGGAAAGGGGGTTACGCACAGGGTGAAAGAAGTTGGGATCCAAGAAAGACTGGAGCTGCTTTGGAGGAAGGGGTCGGAATGCGCTTTAACACTCTCCACGTAATATGTTTTATTTGTTTTTGTTTTTGTAAAGGATTAATGATATCTTGTAGTTGTAACACACGGCCGTGCGTTAACACCTTCCACACACTGGCTGAGCAGTTTAGCCCGTGTCACCGGGCACTTCACAGTGATATTTTCTTATGTAAGTCGCGCGGACTGGGTCCGAGTGACGCGACGTGCCGCCGAAGTGCAGCCGAACTGCTCAAACTAACTTGTAACGGAGCTGCCGCGATGCTCCTCATTGATGCGCTGAACACACCGCGTAAATACAGGCGACGATGCCATGCTGACTGCGGATTGTCCCTGCTGCCCAGCATCTGCAGGCTTTCCGTTTCATGTCCATATAGACATCACAGACAACATACTCCAACGTGCATGTATGTATGTATGTATGTATGTATGTGTGTGTGTATTATATATGTCTGTGTGTGTGTGTGTGTGTGTGTGTGCGCGCATGCATATGTAGATAGCGTATATGTGTATTTACGGTCCTGTGAACTCCTGGAGGGTTCCATATTTTGTTGTTCTCTCATGTGGTCATTTTAAAAAGTCACAGTTTCTTGATCCGTCCCCGATGGCTTGATTTTAATACCCGGTAATTGATTCTGAACCGGGTCCCATCGCGGTCCGCCTTCACGCCGGGGATGAGATGCGCGGCGGCCCGACGCGGCTTTAACGGGCCAGTTTTTATCTGTTAGACGTCGCGTTTGCAGTACAGTGTCGGTGGTCGAGATCGGACCACATTTAACAATGTGAAATAGATAAAGGACAAACACACGTTTTTCCATGCTTATTTTTTAGGCGTAGTTAAGGACCGCCAGGATGAACCCTCAACAGCGGATTGCCGCTATTGGAACTGATAAAGAATTGAGTGATCTGCTGGATTTTAGTGCGGTAGGACGCTGTTAATTAAGTATTTGTGCTATTCTTAATTATACATATATATTTTGTTCTTTTTGCTGAAGAACATTTTTTATAATATGCAAAATAAGGATGTTGACTTCTCGTGAATAGCTCCTGTGTTTACAAAAAAAAACAAAACATGACACCTGAACTTAATATCTAGACATCTTCAGATTTAATGCTGTGGGTCAACAAGTCCACACGTATGCGCACATATACAAGGACTTTAACAGTTTTTTTCCCCCCAAATGAGATTAATTATTTATTATCTTTCCCTATGTTATTCTTTTGCTTTTTCAGGAACCCCTAGCATGATACGCTGCTTAATTTACTTAAATGGAAGTTTGTTATGAATCTTTACCATGGTTATATATATATATATATATATATATATATTTGCCTTTTTAAAAATTAAGTAGAGTTACCGTTATATTTCGTAATAAAGTAAATTAGATGGCTGTATAGCATTTTAAATGTAATAAAGCAACTCTTTGCCCGGTCTTGTGAAGTATATGTTGATGTTTTTAATCTGAACCTAGGGACATTGAGTCTTCTGTATTCCCCCTGCTAGATGTTTTCTCCTCCGGTAAACAGTGGGAGAAACAGGCCAACCACCTTGGGAAGCAGCCAGTTCAATGCATCAGGTAGGATCATGTTTCCGAATCTATTGGTTTCCATCTTGCAGTGTGTTCATCTCCCTCACGCTGTCAGGTGTCTCCTGTATTTCCAGCAGTATCATGGTGATGTGCTTAGTGAGATATATTTTTTAATCTCAATGCATGGATGGTTTCCAACATATTCAGGTGTATTTAAAAAAAAAAATGTATTTTTTTTAAAGACTTCTAAATTATGCATGCAGCCAGCGAGTGGAGTATGTCGAATCAGTGTTCAGCTATTGTACCTAGGTGTTCTGTGTACTAGTCCGTGAATGTCACGTTTAGCGTTCAAACTCCATCCACCTGGAATCAGAACATTCTGCCTGTTGTTGGAAGGGAAATAAAGTTCAGATAACAAAACCCAAGAGAGCTATTTTAATGATAGCAGGTGGATTACAGTATTACTCTGTTACAGTCACTGCTGTCTAACAAAATTGTTACAATTTTTACGTTTGGTGAGTGGCAACTTTTTTTTTTTTTAACATGGCATATGAATTTGCTAATTATACCTGGTACTTTATGCTTAAGTGAATCCGTTGGAAATTTAAGGTAATTGTCCATAAATTGCTCATTGTAGCAGTTTACAGCAAAGCTTTCTGTCTAATATTGTAATATTGGGTTTAAAAGGATTGATGTATTCATAATCATAGTATTATTATGCATGTCCTTGGAGATTACTTACCAAGTTAATTTTATTCTTTATTTAACTTCCATTTATTTTTAACTTTCCAAAAGTTCAAGGGGGTTTTTCTAAACCCCCCAAAGCTGTCATTTTTCCTCTGTTTTTTTAAATGTGATTATTAGCGTACTACTTTTCTGTCTCTGGTTCTTCCTTTGGGGGAGTCATGTATTAATAGGCGGGGGTTTCCTGTAGCTCGAGTTCTCCAGTGACGGGGCCATTTTTATGGTCTTCACACATTTCTGATTCTCTGTGAGATTCTTCTGTCACATGTGGGTCGTCTTCATTTGTTCACTGAGTTTTGATGTGAAGGGGAGGCTGTCATTTGGCACATCGATCTCGACAGTGGTTCTAAGAAACCATAATCGTAAACGTTTCCTAATAAAGGGGATCTTTATTTAACCGGTATTGCTCCCGAACCCCTAAAACTGCTCTATTGTCTGATTTGCGTTTGGAGAAAGGCAACAATTGAGCATTATGTCTCATCCCCACTTGTCTTATGCCTGGCAACAAAGCCTTGCTTGTACTCTAGTTATCTGCGATGTAAAGGGGACACTTTTTAGAGGATAACTGAATTCTGGGATGGGAGAAGCAAAGGCGAGCCGTTGTGGCCAAAGATGTGTAATTGTTATGATTTATGAGTGCTGTGCGACGGGAAAGGTGGCCACAAATTGCGCACTCCTTCGAAGCTTCAGAGGTTACGACCGGCTCCTTGGCACGTGTCCTTCAAAACAATAATGCAGCTGCATTGTGATCATCTAAGGATCAGCTGGAAGCCTTCTCAGGGTTTCCGGGACCAACTTCTAGCATTAAATATAAAATATCGAGCAAATATTTTTTATTTTAAGCTTGGGCACGTCTACAGTGATATCTCTTTCAGTGTTTTAGGGCTCTACTGAAATCTAAATTTAACAATGGTAGCATAGAATATACACTTTTTTTTTGCTGAAAATGATTTACTTCTGCCAGGGGGGGTGCTTTCTTTACGCGGCGGCCATGATCGGAGGAGCGACCGCTTCTCTCTGCTGCCGCCGGTGCTGAGCCGAGAGGCTGGGTCCACGCTGCTGCTGCAGGGCCTCGTCTTCGGCTTCAGGGCACGACGGAGCTCTTGTGCCGCAAACAGTCGAGGCTGCCTTACTTAGCGTACTGTTTGCCCTCGTGCAGAGAGAAAGCGCTGTCATATCTGTGTGTGTGTGCCTGTGTGCATACTGCCTCAGTTTAGACAACAGCTGATTAGCTTATGCGGATATGATTTACACATGTGCAGGTATCCTGTTACACGATTTGTTTAGCAGTTTGATGCGTGATGCGTGCAGTCGGAATAATTTCATTTTATTTTTTCCGCTTTTTGTACCGGTTCACCTTTCACGTTTTCTCAAGCAGATGACTCAGACTTAATGAGAAATTAAGCTGAATTTGCAACTATTCAAGTCTATATCATAGTAATTATTATAATGAAATTGAAATATATAAAGCATAACAAAATTTTAAAAATAGGGCCAGATAGCCGTCAATTAACCTTGACATGAAGTCAGGTATGGAATTGCATTTAGAGGAGTCTGTTATTGTTTTGTTTGTCAGCTTGGGTAAATGCTGCCAGAATATTTACTGACAGAAGTGTGTGTATTTTATTTCCCTCTCAAATGGCTAATCCAGAAGGGGCTGGAATGTGGTGCATGGCAAGCAGATATTCTGGCATTAAAAGCGAACGAGTGAAGCGGTAGGACCAGGATAGCTCACAGGTTGCGGGACGGCGTCTCTGTTGACTCTTAAACTGATTCATTCTTCTACCCCCCTTGTTTGTGAAGTTCTTCAGGTTTGTGCCATCGTCTCGAGCATGTGCTGTGCATTTAAAAAAAAAAATTTTGCTTCTTGGCTGCGTGATGTGGTGTCGCTGGGGGAGGGGAGCGTGTTGCCTCGAGGGGGTGGGACACACAGCTTATCATACTCGTTACACATGTATCTCCATTAGCCGTTGTGTTTGAGTGCATGTTGATATTTCTATGAAACTGTTTTGTTTAAATTGACATTGATGGTTAATATTTATCCATTCACCAGTTAGGTTAAGTGCTAAAACTGGCCTCTCACGGGTTGTGGATGTCTCTGCACCTCTGCTGTGGAGTTTGTACTGATATAGCCCCCATTTTAAATAGTTTCTTTCCATGACTCTGACATATATTCCAATGTGTTTCTGGGGGGGGGGGGGGTGTAGTTAGCAAACCAGCTAAATATCCGTGTCGATCCTCACAGTGACCTTACCAAGACGACGTGCTGGGTCAGCATTCGTTCCATGGTTGTTTTGTGAAGTTGCAGTGTAGATCTAAAACATACTTAATTCTCAAAAAAGAAAACCGTGTCTGGGGTCTTATTTAAAATCACATGACTCAATACCGTTCATTTGTATCTGATCTATTGTCCTTCGTACAGAAGAAGTGGACATTGTGTGTTTTATTTATGAGTCATGTTGACAGGGTTAAGCCTTTTGCATTGGGTTTTGCCCAGCCCTGCTCCTTCCCTAGTACTGACAGGTATTGATGTGCACGCTCTGTAAGTTTGCATGTGAGTGCAGTGCGAGCGTTCATGGGCCCTAACGCAGCGGCCTGTGTCATTCGGCGATTATGGAGAGGCTGGCAGCGGAAGACGGGCAGAATTACAGCAGCGCTGCCGGGCCGCCGTCAGCCGGCTCCATCCATGTAGAAAATCAAGTAAAAGCTTTATCCAGCTTTAAGGGTCGTACAGGGAAATCTGTCTGGGGGTGCGCTTTGTGAATTGACACCGCTATTGTGTTTCTTCAAAGCAGAGATTGTGAGGGTTTGGGTCACGACAGTGTTGTGACTCCGCTCTTTTTTTCTTAGAAGTATGGCATTTTTTCTTTGACGGTATTACATTTTTTTTCAGCTGTCTTTAGAGATGCACGATATATCAGTTAACGTATCGGTATTGGCCGACATTCGTCGAAAATTAAAACGCCAAGTCCAATGTGCCGATCTTGATTGAGCTGAAGACATAAGCACTGAAATAATAGAGGTGATTGCATTGGACGATCAGCCATTTTCCGTAGTGGAGGACGAGGAATTTAGTCGGAATTTGGCTCATTCACCACTACAAACCTCGTTACATTCTGTCAAGTCGGTGTTGGTTCACTGATGTCTCCCTGCCTGCATTATATAATGTTGCTGGTACCCACATTCATGGTATCTTAAGTAGTAACATCAACAACATCAGTTTCACCACAGGTTCGTGTAGCTTACAGGTTGGTCGGGTATTGGTATTAGGTATCAGTTAAATTAGACTAAATTATATGAGTTATCAGTATGAGCCAAAATTTCTGAATCCGTGTGCCACTAGTTGTTTATAATTCATCGCTGTTGTTTGTATATCGTGTGAATGTTGCCAAATTCTCACAAATGGGGAAGTCGCAGTGGAATGACGGCGTTGTCAGAAAGGGCACCGAGCGGCTGATTGTATGGCCTGCCAGGGACCCACTGAGTGCTGAGAGCAGGGCTCTTCCTGAAGGAGCACTGGGCTGCACATTGACGACCCGCCTGTGATTCTGGGCTCCGGTGTCACGTGTTTCTCCGAGGCGCAGTTTGCATGCCCTCCCAGCTTTTGCATGTGGTTCTGCCACGGGCTCCTGTTTCCTGCCTCGTCAGAGGGACGTCCCCAAAGACACACAGTGCCGGTTGACGGAAGGTTCCAAGCAACCTTTGGTGCGTGTCTGCTAGCTTTATTTTTGCATTTCTGTTTCTCCGCGACGGCAGTTCTTTCCGTCTTCATGGCCAGAGATCCAACAGGTCAGACTCGCCTCTTTTCCCACTGTTTCCAGGTCAGGTACAGGTCTGCATGCGGTGGGACAGTTTTAGGAAGTTGGTGCTGATGCGCGACGATGACCTCATCCATTGTGGCAGCTGATTCCTTTACTGTTCCTTTAATTGTTCTATATAAATTGTTTTGTTTTTGCATTTATGTTGCTTAGCAGGACACCAGTGTCTTCAAACAGAACCAGAACCAACTTTATTTGTAGATTCAGTGGTCCTGTTTGAAGGAATGTTACTTCGGAACTAGCAGTAGAATGTTTCATTGTTTGTCGTTTGCGTCATGCCAGTCGCGTCCAGTCCTCGTTCTCGACAGCCACCTGCAGGTTTTATTGAAAATATGCTAATGAGCCTTTGATAGACAGTGCACACGCCAGGTGAGGTGGCTTATTCCTCACTTCAGTCTCGATTATCCCGGCCGTCCGTCCCGGCTGCAGCTGGCCGATGGGAGACGCAGTCGAGAGCGCGGCCCGTCAGTAGACCCCGCAGTCTGG